ATATATATATATATATATATATATATATATATATACAGGGTGTCATGAATATACGGCCCCATTCGTCCCGAGCAGATAGAGTGGGCTAAACTGAGTAGAAGAGTCCTCTACCATTTTGTAATTAACGAGATATTAACGTTTAAAGATAACCGAATATGCATGTCTTCCCGACCTATTATTGCCGAAAGTACGGTCTACCGAGCGCGCGGGACACGAGGAGCGGGGCTTACCGTCGCGAGCATCTAAGCTCAAAGAGCGCGGCGTGCCTACTAGGCCATTCCCGCTCCTCGCGGCTCGCGCGCCGTGCACTCGATGGGCCGTATCTTTGACAATAGTAAGTCGAGCGGACGCGCGTATCCGGTTATCTTTAAACGTTAATATCTCGTTAATTATTGCGAGCATTACAAAATGATAGAGGACTTTTCTATTCAATTTAGTCCTACATCTCTACCTGTTTGGGACGAGTGGGCCGCATATTCACCTTGTATACATACATATCACACACACACGCGCGCGCGCGTGTGTAACAATATAATGCACATAAATATATATTTTTTCTCGGTCTACTGAGAAAAAAATTTTATAAATATTAAATGCACCTTGTGTAATAATAAATGAAATAACAATTTTAATATTACTTGTAGTATGTTGTCGTTGCGCTTGTTCGCAATCTCATTTGATAATTAATAGGAATATTTATAATATTATCTATTTGCGACCATAGAGCTATTGCACCTATACTATATTGGCATTTGTGTCCTAAGCCCTAAAAAAAGTTTTAAGAGGAATAAAGTAGATTATATATGTTTTTCTCTCGTAAATTAAAATATTTGTAATAACGAAGTAGTAATAATTATTCATATAATTAAAATAGCTGATTGGTATACCTGCTGTTGAACCTTCTTATCCCAATAAGACATATAAGCTGCTACGAACCAATCTCCAGGTTGCGGCTCATATACTGGAACAACAGTTACATTTTTCGGCTGATAAATTGTAGTAGTAGTGACTATGATATCGTAATCATATTTGGTTGACTTTGTTGATACAGATATTTCATTATTTGCAGTGATTACTGGATAACTACCAAACTTTAGGTATCTAAAGTAAAAAAAGTAAAAAAATTATCGTCTGTATTACCGACTATATCATAATTTTTGTGTCACTATTACTTTTTTCCTCTTTTACAGATTCGCAAATCTTTTTCCAGGATTAAAGTATCTAGCATTAAAATATCCAGCATTAATACGTATCTATGAGGTGAATTTTATGCTGAGAACGAAAAAAAATTTTCTTAAGATTTCAATTTCGAAATTTTTTGTTGTTCTCGGCACTTCATCTTATAGACATATTAATGCATATATTTTAATCTTGGAAAAGAATTTTCGAATCTGTAAAAGAGAAAAAAAGTAATTGTTATACAAAAATTACAATTTAGTCGGTAATACAGATGGCTTAAATTAATTAATTAATAACTTACAATTATCCATCCAACTGTTCTTATAATTTTTTTTATTAGAAAAATTCGATTAGTCATTACATATTGTAGAATTGTGTTCTATTCTAAAAACACTTGTTGAGCAAATAATTTTTACAATGGATATCCCATCTAATGTGACCTCTCCTTTTAGCTTTACAAATGAAAAATATAGTATAAAAGGGACATAAGTTACAGTAGAAGCAATTAAAAAAAATTTATTTACCATGGTTACATGAAGGTTATGACCATTTAATAAATTGGAATTTATGATTTTTTTACATAGTATAATTCGTCTAATAAGTCTGCATATAAAAGTATTAAGGTAAAAAATATTACAAATTCCATATAGTTTATGAGATATTTTATACTTTATTCTCTGGTAGTTTGATATAAGTTTGATAAATGTAAAATATCTCGTCAACTATTAATTTTTTGAGAATTGATTAATTTCATTATTCTGTGCATAAAAAGTATTAAAGTACATTTAACAAAGACTTAATAGTTTACGAGATATTTAATATTTTACATGTTAAAATGTATCAGAATAAAGCATATAAATGTATCGTTAACTATTGCTTCTTTGCTCTCATCTCTACCTTAACATTTTAACACGCATAATAATTATAGAGGAATATTACGTAAAAATAAATTAGAGGAATATTACGTATAATTACACTTAAAAAAAATGGCTATATCTTCATACGATTAGGAAAAGAGTTAAAAACTGACTTTGTGCTCTATTATAAACTATACAATTTGTGTCTGAACATATTTTTGATTTAATCTTATTCTGTAAAGACATGCAAGGGATGATTATGTTAGGTGTAGGACATCTTGTATATAAATTTAAGTTTATTTAAGATAAAAGGAAAAATATTACATGTAAACTTTTCGTCCATAAAAGCAGCGAATTGCCATGTAGCTCGAGGCACCTCTTTCGGTACTGTAAAGTGAAACATTGTCACGTCGGAATAGCTCTTGAACGAGCGAAGTAAATCTTCCTGATTTGCCTGTGGTATTATACAGCGACTCACTGCAAATGAAGAATTTATCATCTTAAATATATATAATCCATGTAAGACGATTAGATAAATAATTAGATGTAGGATAAGATAAAGAAGACAAAAGTAGTAGACAAAAGTATGTAGTTAAATGATATAAAATCAGATATGCGAGAAGTAAGATAAGTGTAGAACAAAAACAATGACAGATAAGAGATAATAAATATTAGATGTTAGTGCATGTAAAACCCAAAGGATAAAATATAGAAGACGTAGGATAAAGTATAGATAAAGTATAGAACCCAAAGGATAAAGTATAGATGAACGTATGCGTCAAGAATAGATAGAAATTGTAAATCCCCTTCTTGGCTAAATTGTACACTGAAGTGAAATAAATTCTATTCTATACATCCCATTTAATGGGGGTTGCAAAATAAAAAAATTTTTTTCTCTTCACTGGGTTGACATATTTGAATTACTTTTTTTTCTCTTACTCTCATATAACTAGCTGCAATTCATAATTTCAATTTGATCTTAATTTTTGACAAAGAATTTTTGTACTATAAATTTATTATAAATCGTATAGAGTATAATATATTTCCGCCTTTTAATCTCTATTTCTAACCTTGCATGAATTTCACTAATTCTCGTTTTCTAATATAATTGAGCAATTCTACTTAACGTATATATATAGTGTATCAATATTGGTATTAATTTGAATAAGATAATTTTTGGCAATTCGGATAAAGAGATTAATGAAAAAAATGTAACTTATCGCGAAAGATAAACATACTTGGAAAAAAAATGAACAAAAGATTCAGAAAAACGGAAAATCGGCGAGACGTCAAATAAAGCTCCAAAGAAAACGTTGAAATCATGACAAAAGTATATATTAATTGTAGAATAGGAAATAAACATCGAAAAACACTGACTCCATTTTTACAACTACATATGTGGTATCTTTATCCTTTTCTAATCAATACGCAGCTATAATTGCGCATGTGTAGTAGACGGTATTGCATATGCGCAGTCATGAAAGTATAGCTAAAGGTACACTTACATGCAAGCGTCAAGCAGTGGAAGCAACAACTAGAGAGAAACCTGAGAGAGGACATGACGGCCCAAAACCTGTAACTGCAAAATGCTTGTGGTGTTGTAAGCGTTAGTTGCAGCGATCGAGTCAGTTTTTCTTTCGGTTTCTCTTTCTCTCTCTCTCTCTCTCTCTCTCTCTCTCTCTCTCTCTCTCTCTCTGATGTCATGGTATTCTGCGTGCGGACTTTTTAGTCGTGTCAAAGTCTCGCTACAAATGCTTTGAAGCATTTAATGGACCAATTAGAAGAAAGAATTTTATAGTGATCAATTAAAAAACGTTCAGCTTCAAAACGGTTGCAGCATCGTGTTGACCGTACCTTTTGTAAGCCTCAGCGATAGATACGTTAGTAAAATGGATAAGATTAATCATCTTTATGTTCATTGGTAAGATTAATCATCTTTATGTTTATTGCGAGATCAGCATCAGTTACTGCTCATGTCGTTAGATAATTACTCGTGCCGTCAGATAAATGCTAAATTTATTAGGTGTTGGAATTAATTCGTAGCGTTTTACAAGTGATGGGAAGTACTTTCATTAATGTATTTTTTAATGCTCATGTGAAATAAATAACATTCTTTCATTAAAAAACGCTACGAATTAATTCCAACACCTAATATTATTATTATTAGTAGATTTTAAATTTATTATTTATTTTTTAAATTTATTATGAGTAGATTTTTTAATTTCTCGTATTTTAACCTAGTAATGCGACATCCAAACTCGTAATGTATGCAATTATATCTCTATCTTCCTTTCGATCTGTATGTTCCAAACATTCATTTGAGTTTATATTAATATGGCTTGTGAGTCAGAAGCAATGAGTAACATTTCTTTGCAAATTTAGTGATTTCTCGTCAATCTTCCTTCGCTATTAGCCGGCGCCCAGACACGCTCGGCGCCAGCGGCGAATTGGACACAGCAGCCACAACGTAGCCATTGTTTGTAGGGAACTACTTCTCAATGCCTCACTAGCGCAGCGAGCGGAGGAAGCCTAAAGATTTTGTAGATTGTGAGTTGCCTACAAGCAGCGTTATAAAAAAAAAGAGAGATTAGACCACTCGTCCTGTACGGTCATATAGATACATGCTTCTGTAATAAATTCATCGTTACTAATTCCAAGCAAAGTGGTCGATTTTTACATCTTCCATCATATGACAAGCGTGGGGCTTGTCTTGAGAGGCAGACTCGTATTGAGTCTCATATCCTCACATGCTGCCGCGCACTACTGCTCTCCACAAAGTGGATGTAAACTACATAGCAACGTTCAAGGCTGGAGATGATAAATCGATATTTGGTTCATATAATCGTGCAAAAGTGGACAATGTATCTTAATGACTTCTGCACACTGGATGCGGAAACGCTTGTCGCGCGGCAAAATGTGCGATAGCTAATAAGCTTACGGCTCCTATTGTATTCATTGATTAGGGCTGTCGCGCATAAATTTCAACGGTGACCGTAAGGCTGGGTTTTTACTGAACACTACGACGTTCATTTTCGACGTCAAAACCGATCACGTGATCAAAATTGACAAATATCAAGCGTCAATTTTGATAACATGATCTGTTTTGACACCGAAAATGAGCGTCGTAGCGTCAAGTGAAAACCCAGCCTAAGATGTAAACTTAAGCCGATAAGCCAATCAGGATATTGTTTTAGATCTATGTAATTTAACGGAAATGTAAATAATAGTAAACTTATCCATAACCTTGCAATAAGGCGAATTTTAATCCGGTTGAAACTCGCCTTATGAATAAGTTTACTGCTATTTTTATTTTCGTTATAGTACGTAAATCTAAAGCAGTAGTTCTGATTGGCTCATCGGTTTAAATTTACGTCTTAAGGTTACTGTTACAGAAATTTTGTCTGCGGCAGATCTTACAGCGTCTCATTTTGCCGCGTGGCAAGCGTTTCCGCGTCCAGTGTGCAGGAACCATAAGAAAAGTGGACGTTCCTATATAGTTTACATTCACTTTGTCAGAGGGCAGTAGTGCGCGGCAGCATTTTGCGGTTACAGGTTTTGGGCCGTCATGTATGTCCTCTCTCAGGTTTCTCTCTGTATACACATACGCTTATCTACCTTTTCTTATGTTTATAAACGAGGTCGCATAAAAGCACAAAGCGTGAAATAAATGTTTTGTTAACGGTTTATTTAAGTATAACAAGATGAAACAAATATTTTTTACAGTTTTTCTCTTGATAGTTTTGACAAATCAGGGTACAGTATATTCATTACAAAGGGCGTGGCAGTGAATCATATCCGATTATTATTCTCATGTTATTTTGAAATAACATTTTAATTGCAGGCGATAGCTTGTATTGCTACAGGTGTAACAGTAATCATCCTGGATGTGGAACACCTTTAAATTGGTTATGGTATTGGGGAGAAACTTGCCCAGAATACGATGACAAGTGTGTAAAGATAATTGAACGGAAAGGAGGTAATCATTCATGTTACATTTACAAGACGACATATTAAATTTTTATTTGATTTTTAGATGACATATGAAAGGAAACATACATGTGCATATATCCTCCCAAGTAAAAAAACGTCACAATTACATCACAACAATCATGGTTACGTCATGGTGACCTGTGAATATCTAAATCTGTGTTATTTTGTTACGACAATCTCGCAGTGACATATGTTCTTCCTGATTAATGTTGTGACGTGAATGTGACCCTTTGCTACAGGGGATATGTATATAGCATTTAGTCCATGATGACAAGTTAACACAAGTGTCTTTCTATCTTCATTATTCTCTGAATGTCAAGAAATAGAATGACATTTGTGTCGACTTGTGTCACTAAATGAAAAAAGCATAATCGTACAATTTTTTCCTCAGCGGAAACAATTATTACCCGTGAATGCCTGAGCTCCGTACGTAGCTTTAGAACGGATATTCCTGCGGATCATTACGAAGGCTGCAGACCTGCTGCTAAAGATGTACGATTAGGCCATTATGTCAATAACAGTATTCATCAGTTGGATATTCATCGTGATTATTATGACGAGGTTACATGGTGCTTCTGTTACTTTGATCATAGATGTAACAGTGCGGAGATTATGACTGTTTCAATATTACTTATAACTTTAGAAATCGCTGTACAGTATTTTATATCCTAAGGCTGTTACATATATGATACAATTTGTAGAAGAGAGAGGGAGATAGACAAAACGTTTATTTACATTCTTATTTACAAGCAATAGTAAATTAAAATAAAGCAAATAAAGAGTAATTTATACAAGAAAGAAAAATAAAACAAAGACACAAGAAAAGAAAAATGAAATAAATGATAAAATTGCGTTGCTGCAAATAATAACAAAAAAGTTCATGTCTAAATGAGCCAAGCGATTCTGCTGAGAGGCAAAGGAAGGAAATTCCAAGAAAGAGAGATATTAAAAAATATAAATATTTGTGCATTATTTAAAAAAATGTATACACAAAAGTCTGTAATTGTTGAGTATAGTCTCTTCACCTTTGATATTGATAAAATTAGGCTCATTCGATGCGTTTTTGCACGAAAAATGAATGAATCTGGCAAAAAAAAGTTGCTCCGCCTTATAGATCGAGGTATTAATTGTTAAAGTTGACGACTATTCAAGTTAGGAAATCTTGTCATATCGATGGCATAGAGGGACATGAGAACATGTAAGCGAGACTACAATAAATATTTTCTGCTTTAATTACACAGGACAGCAGATTCTCTGCTCTAAAAAGACAAATTTTCTTCTTTAGAACTTCTTCATGAGTCTAATTTTATCAACATCGGAGATGAGATGGCTAAACTTGAAAATCACCATCTTAAATTGGAGTTATATTCTCGAAAAAAGTCATGAAATTATTGTAGTATACGTTTCGAATATTTTGATATACTATAGTATACATATAGTATATGTTACATACATTTTCTTAGTTTTTGTATCTGACATTTAAACATTTTTGAATAAGGCCTAAAATTATAAGGTTATATTAAGGTTATATTTATCTTTAAAAAAATAGAAAGCTATTAAGTCAATACAGCTTATATGTTTAACGCACTTACATAATGCCACGTACGAAAGCATATACTTATGCATTATTCAATTATTAAAACTATTAGGAACATATCTTGACATACACTAATATTGAAAATGTATAATAGATATTATGCGTATAACAGATTTTCGATATTGATAGTAAATCAATCCATATATATTATATGTCGTCATTTTGACATTGAAATGACGACAAATAACATTATATTGATATTTAGGTAGCAATGATCTGGATATATATATATATATATATA